TTTGGAAATTGATCGGTGTACGAATACTTTCTACACTCACTGTATATATATTTTTGTATAATTGCAAGTTAAATTTCAATTTTTGTATGAAAAAAGGGTCCAAAATGGCGGCTCTAGCTCAGATCAAATAAATAAATGAATGGCGTCTGGTGATCGTAATGGGTAACAGAGCGGTCTTCTGCTTCCATCCTCAATCAATCATTAAAGCACCAGTTATACTTCCGATATCGTTGAGATCGATTCAGGCAGCCGTTGGTTAAGAAAATCGTCACGTGAAAACGAACCTCGGATCGAAAGGGAATTACGGAATCCTCTCATTCGAGAGGAAAAAGAGAGAATACGTGCGCGTAGTCGACGACGGAAAATCTCTATTGGCGGTGTAATAATCCACGACAGGAATGGTTATGCTCTTAACGCGCAGCAACGTGTACGCAAAAGTAAACACGTCGAGTATGTTTAACAGAAGAGAGAAACGCACACGCCCGACCCGTGTGCGTGCCCACCTTTTCTTTCGCTCAATTTTTTTTTTTCCCCCCAACGAACAATCCTGCCAGTCTCTTTCACCCCTCATAGTCGGTGACTAACACACAAAGCAGACGGTGCCCTTACCGTAAATCGTCGACACGCGGAGGAGGAAAAAAAATGAGGAGCCACAGCGCGCAACGTGGCTTCGTGTTCGCAACGTGTACGTGCTCCTGCGTGGGCGACCCCATCCAACGGCATATCGAGTGCCTGCAGACCGACGGAAAAGTGCACAGTGCACTTACAGTTCCGAGGCGAGCGTCGAATTACCGATACTGTTATGGAAATTTATCCTGGTGTCAACATGCGCGAGCTTTCACTACTTTTTTCCTGTCGGATAAGACGCTACGCGTTGGCAGCTCCCGCGGGAAGCTAACTACCATCGCTTCGTACAATCTAGCAGGAAAAGTCACTACGTGCTTGAGTTTGAAAATGACAGGTTTCACCTGGGATGGACGCGTTTGACTCTTTGAGCGCGGAATGATATTTTTCTGGAAATTCTAAGAGAGACTTAAAGGTGTGGATTTTTAAAAAAATATCACCTCATAGAGAATGACAAAACGAAACTTTTTTATACTTGCAGTTTATTCATAGGAAGTTTAGTTTCAAAAATAAAAATTGAAAACTTGGAAGATCTGTTCTCTGAAATTCAGTTTTTTGCAACGAACTTCTAACTTTTCAATTTCTATTTTCGAAACTAACCATCCTATGATTAAACTGTAAATATTTAAAAAAAAAAGAGAGAGATTCGTCTCATTATTCCGTATAGGCTGATGTTTTTTTTTTTTTTTAAATTAATTTAACGAATATAAAACAATTCTCTGATCCCATTTCTAGGCCTTCAGAGTGTGAATGTGTGTACTAAATATTAAAAATATACTGTCAACAAAAACAATTTTTTTTTTTCAATTGCAAATCTAAAAGTTTTGTGGATTTGCTCATATATACGCCCTTCGCAATGAAAGCGAATAATAATTCGTAACTCAGTTATATTATGTCGTCTTAAAAATCTCTTTCGTACGCCTTTAAACATGTTAATTCAAAGAAAGCATTTACGATAAGTAATGTCACGTTCTTTTAAAAAAGACAACAGCACCAAAGAAATTTTGTATAATCACTTACAGAATAAGTAATTAAAATTTTCAAATTAGCTAAACATTGTAAGTTTAAGATTTAAAGATTATCGTTATAAATGATGAAAATCCGGAGTCTAATTTTTGTTTCGAATTCGCAGCGGCTTCCCTTTCTTGAGTAATCATTAAGAATGTGAAATACAGGCTTGACTCATAGTTTTGTATGAATTAATATGAACGAGGTAATATGCATTAATTATTGCATGAATATTCTATGGTAATTATTGTTAGGTATGTTAAATCCTTTTTTTAATTTCAGTAAACTGATTACGAACGATTGCTTTAGAAACAGGTAAGTCGTTCATGGTTCTTCGAGCATAAAATTTATTAGAACGCTTTGGACACGTAGGTTTGATCCTTCTTAATGATAAAAAATATTCTTTTTATAAATTATATACAGAGAAATGAAAATTCCAGGAAACACAATGCGTGGACAGAAGAAAAAATAAATGCAGTAAATATTGAAATAACTATATGTAAAATATAATATGTATAAACGTTACTTGATCATTTTAATAGAGAAATATGATAGTCCTTTGTCTTCTGGATTGCATATCATAATTTTTTTCAGTCGCACTCTACATTTTATCAGAACTTTTGCTTTTAAGCCAACGCCATTATGTTGATCAACTTCGAAAACTTCTACGGAGAATACACTTCCAAACACTCATTTGAATTTTTGCATAATCATATTCGTAATTGAATGTCACGTCTTAGAAGGTGACACCATGGTAACTGAAACATAAGTGCCATACATATATGCATGACTTTAACAGTGAACGTGTTGAGAGGTAAACGAAACGATTACCCTTGCAGATGAGAAATTCCCCGTCCGCGTTTGGTGCTTTCATGAGAAACTACGAATTTCCATCTGGGAATTTTAAACCGTTAAAAGATTCTCGCTTATACGATGAATCAACATTTATAAATTATTCGGAGTGGACCTAGAATCCTTAAAAGAAGAGTGAATTGCTTTTGGAACGTAGCAGTTGCCTTTCCATCAACCTTTTCAAAATACATTTCCGTTGTTAATAGTAAAATTAAGGTAGACGAAATAATTCTATACATTTATAAATCAAATATCTAATTCCTTGCTCGAGGGAGACATCTTTTAAAATGTTTGAAAGGCTTCAGTCGATAAATAAAAAGGGAAGAAGAACAAATTTATTGGACCCTTAGGCATGTTGGAAAATGTTTTTTTAGGTTTACGTGGAATTTAAGTTGAAAACAATTTACAGTAAAGCCCCCCTCCCTAAATACGAAGCTTCATTATCTGAACGTTCTATTGAACGAAAAATTTGATTTTTAAATTAATAAAGAAATAAATAAATAAAAATTTTGCAACAGTTGAAACAGTAAACGAAATTAATGATGAGGATGTAGCTTTCCACGCCGAAACATTCATGGTATTTGATGAAGTTATCAGTAGTTTGAAGTACACAGAGAATAATAACTATGCACAGTTACTTATGATAATAAAATGATGTGATTTAGCAGAGAAAAAGATATCGGATCCTATATCGAAATTACATAATTATATCCTTAATATTGAAACAAATTGTCAATTTCGTCAATTTTATTTGAATAAATTGTGATATAATATAAAATGAAAGATTGCGTATTCCCATATCCAGCCACTTTCGTGTTTCAATTAGTGCGGATACGGAAGACTCTGCTGTATTCAATTTAATTTTATCTATTTAACCCTACAGTGCGCATTGAAACAAATGTGCATCAACCGTATTTTTCTTTGATATTTCATTACGCAACAGCGTGAACAACAATTTATACACTGTTGCTAACAGAAATAAAACATCTACGTTATAAAAAAAAAAGGTCACTGTACCATTGACGATAACTATTATTGCGCCAAATCTGACAGTTGCTATTTGTATTTTTGCGGTAGAGTGTTATTTGTGTTTGATTCGATTTGAAAAATTGCGCACCGCAGGGTTAGTTTAATGTTCTCACTCTGCCAACTGTTCGAACCCAAAACTCAAAGTTCATTGATACGATTAATTATTCCTCTGAGAGAGGCCAACGTTGAGATAGATATTAAATATATTATCCTCATTCTTTGATTTCCATACATTTATCTCCTATCGTTAGGGTCTTCCACGATGAACTAGGACTGAATGCACCCGGTCCAAATAGTTCTTTCCCCGAGCACGGGGAGTGCCATTAATATTTGCGATGCTTCGACACACGTACGGTAATCCTAGCGGGATGGTGATTTATGTTGCGCATAATTCCGGAGCCTGATGGTAAACAGTATTAGAAGTATACGTCGTACGGTTAATGCAGACCACTGCAGGACATTCATGCTCTCGTCTGGTTCCGTGAAGTCAATAATTTATTACGATGGGCTTTGGCTCGAGCGAGACTCAATATTGACCGTGCTCGGATAGAGGATACGGCGCCGTTCGCCGTAGAATACAATAAATTCGATTGCAGAGTCGTTCCACAAATGTTTGCAACTGCTTACTCGAGCTTAAATTAGCCCTTGCACTCGTAGGGCGACTTGGAAGCGGCAGTCTTTGTTTATCTTTAATTTCGTTGAAGCACGAACTGTTCGTAGTGATATTGGTTCATATATAGGCTCCTAAGCTGTAAACTGGAACACTTTGAAGTAGAAGTAAGATACTTTATTTCCACGACGCACCGATCGTGGCAAAAGAAGGGTTTAGTCGTCTGAATTGTCAGGTCTCTGTAACGAAACGAGTGCAAAGAGTTAAGAAGGCAAAGCCAGAGGAACGGGCCAGTCGATGTCTGGCTGAATGGAGCAGCGATCGACCATTTCTACCGAATGAAAAATTATTGGGAGGAGCGCTGGTGCCCGGCGATTTATTATGTGGTCGTGCGTTATGGATTTTCGATATTTGCCGGTGGACACGATAAAAGTACTCCCCTGACAACGAACGGACGAACATCGAGCTAAATACTTGTCAACGTGTCAGAGAGTCCTCGACGTTCGAACGATATTTCGTTCGCTGGAAAAGGAACAGTCGAGAAACGTGTAGCGTATCTTATCTGAACAGACCCGAAGGAGGATAGAATTTGAAGGATGCGCAGGAAACGGCTCGATTCACTGTTTCCCTAACCACTTCTAGCGTGATTTCTTCACCGATTACGAAGGCTGGAGGAATGTTCTACGCCCTTCCGGAACAGGTGAGTCGAGAACCGATAACAGCCTACTTGGGAGAGTAGGAAAATATTTTGAAAAAATTCTAGAAGGACGTAAACCGATTCGATGTTACAAAAATTTGCATATATCAAGAGACACCGGTGAAAAATTACCCGTAGGGTAATTCATTCTTACTTCGTAAATGGAAAATCATTTCTTACCTCGTATCTGTACACATGTTGCTGCGATGGTCTTCACGAGAAAATATAAGACAGCCTATCGATATCTGACCTGGGCGACGAATCTTTCTTGCGAGAGTTGAAGCACCATTAATACGCGAAACAACACAAACGAACGCGCGTCAACGACTGACTCGAGCCTCGAGGCAGCACGAGTACGAGGTACGAGCACGAGTTAAGAGTAGCACGAAGAGCGTCGATAACCGCCGAAGACGCCCGAAGTCGCATTCGAAGAGCTGATTTTCTCAACCCGCGACCCTACCGGTTCCAACCCTTCCATTTTATCCGTAATTAAGATTGGTAAATACCTGAGCACAGGTCCACAGAGATGCTTTAAGGTACTTCCCAGTCAAGTCAAAAGTGACACTTTTCCATTAGTAAACAACTAAATACCGAAACGGAGAATCGAATAGAGATGTCGTAACATTTCTTAGACAGTGATAACATCTGCAAAGATATATTCTTATCGAAATGATCGTTTCAGCAAAATTTTAGTTGATTCAACTTTTCAAGACAAAGAATAAACTGTATATCAGCCAAGAATAACAATTATTTTAGAATAAAGTCGATATTTTGTTTGGAAATGAATGTTTTTCTACGAATTAATTTTGTGCGAATTTATAAAATTCTTACCACTTTTTCATACATTTGTTATAGATATATGAAACTAATGTCCAACCCTACAACTACAATTTCTTTTTATGAATTTATTCTAAAGTTATAAAATGTATGAATTTTCAAATCGGTTAAGATTGTTTATAGATTTATTGTGACCTTTTAAAATGTGTGAATTTCTAAACTTTGCACAATTTTTTCGTGCATTTATTATTGTGCCATTTATTATTTCTCACAACTGGATACGTACAAATTTCAAAGCAACAACAAAATAAGTATTTATTAAATTAACTCCAGGCACTGTACTATTTCCAAATTAATATTACGTGTTTGATGTTATCTAATAAGTTCGTTTTATCGTTTCAACAAATGATTGAATTTAAACATGTGCTTCGTTTAGTTTTCCCTTAGATGAGGTCTTCATTTTCTATTTTATATAGAGTTCCGTGGAGGTATGATGCACCATTGCTTATGACCGATGCAATGCAGTTGGTAATATACGACAGGACGACCAAGAGTTTCCCACAGTGCATACTCGTTGTGTGTATCCATGTGTATCTCTAACCGAACAAGCACGCTATTGGACTCACATGAATTACGTACTTTGCAATATTCAGTGATGTCTCTATTGTCCCCGATCTACAATTACATTTCCTTTCTGGAAGTATCATAAATTAGGACGTGTGGATTTTACGCTATTCTATCTCGTAATTACAATGGTGAATTTGAATCGACTATTGTTCAAAATTGTTTATATCTAAACTTCAATTGAATAGAACGCTTACAAAGTATGTAAATAAGACATCAATTTTATTCAAACTGTGGAGTATGATAGGGAATAATAAAGGACTCGTTTCCTAGCGGGACAAACGGTAATTTTCGAAATGTTCTAAGTCTGTTTATGGATATTATAAATCAATAATAGAATGTCCTTTCCATCAGAAAACGTAAATATTATTCCCGAAAATAAGATATAATTAATGCACCGAAAAACTATCATGACGGATTTATAATTGAGAATCTGTATCTTCTAAACGCATAAATTGCCGAAGCTAAAATTTTATATCTGGGGTCCTTTCGTATCCTTTATAAGACCCATCAAGTTCCATCTCGATCGGCCATCGGTGACTTTCGAAGGTACAGCCATATTTTTTCCCCATCAAGTTTACTCTTTATAAAGAACATAGACAATAAAGATGTATAAGAAGCCAGCTACTCTGAGAATGAATAATATCGTCTGTATATCTGTACAGATGTTGAGATTAGGTTTGTATATATAATTTTTCTATTTCGTTCTATCCATACGCTTTGAATCAACTTTATTTTCATTTTTATTATGCTTGTTATTATGCTTGTAACCAGAACGTAAAGCAGAAAATGAATAAACAAATATTTTATCTCAAAATTAAAAGCATTTATTCAAATAGAAATTGTGTATTTGTGTAATTGTGAATGACGGTACAAATCGAAAATAACAAAGATAGTAACAAAGATTCGGAATGGAAGTTTAATTAGAGTTGTCGAGTGTCGGGCTTAAAAACGTACGGTTTTGATAGTTTTTCAGGATAGGAACCGAGCCGAAGCCAGCCAATCACAAATCCAATCAGCGCGCATTGAGTGCCGTTTCTTTTTCAAGGCATTACCTACAAAAGTGCTCGGCTGAGAAATTTCAGCCTGATCAAAGGACCTCCCTCTGCGCGTCTGAACTCTTCGAGTTCTGCAAAGCGAGAGAAAACCTGCCGATTGCTTAATCACTTTCCGAAGCCCCGCCAGCGCTTTATTACTCGGCTCGTATAATTTCAAACCCAGCTGCGATACATGCCTCGCGGAGTAATTAAAACCTACTGACAGCAGGAAGTACCATTACACGGGACCTGTGTCTTTCATGCAAACGCAACGCCCTGTACGTGTAAATCCCATTTGCTACACGCTGCGCCACGTTTACGTAACGAAGAACGAAAGATGCGTATAGAAAACGGGGGCAGAAGGCAAGTACGTGCCGCAGATCCTTTATCAAAGGAAAACGGTAAAGTAGCTCTTCAAAGGCTGAATGCACCACTTGTGAACACTAATCATTTGAATTGTAAGGATCGAACGGAAATGATAAAAATCTCGCGAGGACCGTTCAACCCTTTGAAATATTTAGCATTTCTCGATGCAGCAGGCAATAAATAATTTTGTACCCGCGTCAGGACCAAGGAGCCGTTTCTTTTCCGAGACACGTGCTTAAGATATGCATCACACGCCTGGCGACGCGGTTTTGCTCCCTTTTCTCACGTCGTGCACGAATTCGAGTTAGTCCCGTCGCTCTTTTCGACCATAAATAATCGCGGCTCTATTCTATACCTTCTTATCCACAATACATTCGACTCCGCGTTTGTCTCCCCCGTTTACTCTTATTGCTCCTTTCCTGTTTGCCCAGACCTCTATCCGCTCTTTCTTGATACTTTGTAAAAACGAGACAACATAGTTTACGATGTCGTTCTTTTTTGCCACGAGAATCCCTGCGCAACGCACGGTCACGAGACAACCGCAACGGCTCATTAACATTTATCGCTTCATTCCTCTGTATATAATTTGTCGTGACCGTCCTCGAGAATTTAAGTAAACGAGAAACAACCCAAAGAAGGAACAATTAGAGAAACTATAAGATTTCAAATGTATTTTGATAACGGAATTTGTTCAAACTCTTATGCATTGAAAAATCGAGGATTTACTTTGTTAATATTATAACCCGTTTCTGCTTTGAGGGCAAATTCCGACCGGCACACAGTGTGATATTTCAGCGATCTAGCGGGACAAAACTTACGTGGTCCAATATCTCGGAAACTATTAGACCGTCTACAGACGAAGCTACTCAAAAGAAACGTAATTGGTTACTGATAGAAATCACGAGTTAGTTACCTATTGGTTAGTAATGATTTTGAGTATTTTTAGAAAAAGCATCTACCGCTGTCCATGCGGTATAACATTACAGCAAAGTCATATTCTCGGTCATAGCTTGAACAAATATTGTTAATCATTAATGTAGGTATTATCAGAAATTAATTTTTAGTTATTCCGGCTAACAGATATAACGATATAGAAAAATTTCTTAGGATTACTGTGTTCGATTAATACTTATTCTGAACCGTGATTCTTATTAATATTTAATCGAAGACTGAATGTTACTATACGTATTGTAAATATTCAATTTATTCGGAGATGTACATATTCAATCCATTCTAAAGTTTTAGATTATTGTACTAATGTATTTCGAGAAAGTAATATTTCCGAACACGAAAAGTTGAAAGTAAGATATTTTTCTATATTTTAATATCTATTGATTGGAACAATTAAAACTTAATACCTCCGACATAATTAAATATTTGTGATACATATAGTATCATTCAGTGTTCGATTCATGTTCGAAACATTAATAACAATTACGATTCAGAATAAGTATCCATTCGAGACATTAATCGTGAGAAATTTGTCAATATCTTAATATCTATGGATTGCACCGACAAAATATTAATTTCTGACAACAGTTCAATTAATTATTAACAAGACTTATTATTTAAACAATGATGGGGAATATGATTTTGCAGTGATATTAATGTTTCGCGAATTATTTTCTCGATGGATCCAACGAGCCTTCGAATCGAGCGTCACGGGGTTGTTGTTCGCCCTTCCCCTTCTCTACTTCGCGAGGTACACGCGAGCCGCGACCCTCGACCGACAGGTATACGAGGGGTGAGAGCTCATTCTTCGACGATCCTTCGGTCGGTATGGATCTCGCGATCGCGCTTCCGCGTCTTGCGTTCCTCTTATTTTGCTTGTGTAGTTTCCCTTAGTTATCGTAGCTTGGTATTGCTTGTGGGTAGTTTAGTTTGGTTTGGTTAGTTTTAAGGCATGTACCTAAGTTAGTTTTAAGGCATGCGTGTACGAGTGTCTGTCCTCTGTCGAATAATTATTAATCACTTGTTCAATTCTTTTGCTTTGTTCGTAGGTCCATATTGGACTCGCAACTTCGTTCTCCAATTCGGTCACTATTACTTCATGTGATAAGTGAAGTGACCAACTGTGTAACTGGACAGAAAGGTCGGTTGCCGTCCTCCTGGTGGATCTGTATTCGAGAGGAGGACAATCGGCTCCTCCGGATCGGTTCTCTGCTTCCTGTATCCCTTCTGGTGTAGTCCAGGCTCCCGGCGTAGTGCAGTAAGTCCAAAGCGCAGTGAGACGGGTACAAGTCGGGTCCGTCGTGGCTCCCAGATGGGTGCAGGGTGTAGAGGACTGATTCGGAGGCGTCGATCGTCTTCCTCTCGAGTCCAGATCCAACAGGAGGAAACGGAACTGACTCAGTAAATCCAGTTTCATGGTCGCGTCGTGTCGCGATTTCCATTTAGCTTCCATTTAGTTCAAATAATAATTATTTGGCAGAGTCGGACTTGGACTTTGGAAATCGAAGGGAATTTTCTTTTCCTTTGATTTTCATCGTTTCGTACTTAGTATTAAGCTCGTCGACTCTATGTAGGGTATGCATTTATGTGTGTATACTCTATGTAGAGGGAGATAGAAGGAACTTTGATTCCTTCTATCTCCGGGTCTCCAGTCGCAGCAACCTCCACGTGGTGAGACCTGGTAATCGGTATTATTCGTGACGAACAATCCTTCGTCGCGAGTAATATCGAGCTAATGGCTGCGAGCTTGTAATAAGATCTTTAGACATAAAAAGTGTAAAATGCAAAAGTGTAAAGTGAGATTAGATTTAGATTAGCAGGAATATAATTAGTTTTCATTAGAGAATGTTTGGACATTTTGAACTGTACTGCCAATCTTGTAAAAATCTCAAGATCAAGTCAAGATCAAGTCAAGATCTCGTCGAGATCTCGTGTGCATCACTAGTTCACCCTTCAGGATTGACGACGACTGCTTTGGAGTGACTGAACTACGATTGAAACCCGACTCTCGAAATGAATCGATGTCGCAACGATACTTGACACACGTCCAAGAACAACAAAATTTCCAAGTAATCGTGATTCATTTAAGGATATAAACCCATTAGAGACGAGGTTCGGTCGCCAGGGAAGATGTTTAAAGGATCAAAAGGGAATTCCACAACCGCGATCGCCAAGGATCGTCGAAAGAAATCTACGGCGTCGAATAACCTATACGTGTCGCCATCTTTCATTGGCAAATTTCGTAAGTGAGTAACAGATTTTATAAAAACAATTTTTTGGAAAAATTATATCGTTCCTAATTTTGGAAAAATTGTTTTACACGAATGTACGAGATAAAGTACAAGAGAATGATCCAGATTGGCGTATGTTATTTTGGGAAACAGCGATATAATCTAATATAATCTATAATTCAACAGTGAATTATACTATGACTTTGAAATGACTTCAACTTCGACAATTTTGTGCGAACGTAATTTTAATGAAAAAGTATTATTAAAAAGAATGAATGAGTTGAACTGAGTAACCTCCTCCTTTTCGAAGTCTGTTAATAAATCAGGTTACAATAAACTACAACTGTAGCAATATTGCCAAGAAACTGATTAGATCGATGACACGACGAGAAACCGATGATTCCGATCCGTACGTGATAAATACAAACATAAACCGAGGAAGCGACACCCAATATCCGTGAGCTGCAATTCGTTTGAATGAATAATTCATCGGACGTGATTGTTGTCGACAACTGATACCACCGGACAACTTTCATAGAGTTTTTTGCGCTCTCTGTTCCCTGTAATTTCTTGCAAATTGTTTGTCACGATGAATTAACCGTCAATAGCCGCTCGACGTGTGCAGTTTTCCGGGAATGTAACGGAAATAAATGTACCGTAACGGTGCGCGTCTGTCAATCGTGGACGAATCAAACGGTTGCGCTAGATCAAAGATGCGAGTAATGGTTTTTTAACCTATTTATGCGTAATGCTTTGCTTTTTCAGCATCGCCACTGGAGCTTTGTCTTGAAACTATTCTTTACAAATCTTTTTAGTACATATTGTATAAGTATTATTTTAATAAATTTAACACTATCCATACGATGATTCAGTTATAAGTATACTCTTACTTTATCATTGTTGCAACGGATTCTTATAAAATAGGTACAAATACCTTTCGAAACTTTGACCTTAAGTATCTTTTAAAACATTAATCGAAAGCAGTTAAAACTATACACTATCATCTTCAGTATTTCAACCTATGTCGTTACGTACAATAGAAGCTCGTTTAAATATTGGTGGACGTTTTGAGTAGTGGCGAGTGGATGTTTATTAAAATCCCAGAGAACGGAATTCCGAAGGCAAGCGAATCGAAGATACCTATCGCATAAACGATTCAACCAAAGAGCCATTTAATAAACATGACGGAGAACCAACTAGCCTGTAAAGAGAATATCGAGCAGTGGCTATACGCAAGCTCGCTTCTGGTTTAACAACCTCTCGTATATCGTTGTCTTAACATGCAGTTATTGTCGTTCCAAGGTTTGCGAGAAGGAAGCAGAAGTCTCACTTTTCGAGAAACACGTCGAACAATGTAGAGAATGATTCTAGACCGAGCAAACTTCCTAAAGACGCCAGACTGGCCTCGAACGTTCCAAAAGACGCCGCTGTACACTTTGGAAACTTCTACGACGTCCAAGGAGGCTCAAATAAACCGCAACTCGAAAAAACGAGAAGTTCCTTGAACTCTACCTCTTCACCCCTGAGAACAGCGCCAAGATTAGAATTTACCAGGCAGATGGTCCACAAGTAAATATATACAACACTGTCACTCGAGTTGCTAAAGTGTTACGTTACCGTTTCTTTTGCTTACTGTATCTTAATCACGTTTATCTGTATCTTAATCTATTCTATCTCTGGTTGTCACAATTACTTTTTACTTTACAATTGTTATCATGATGTCACAGATTTATCCTCGCTAGAATTAATTGTACTTCATACTTGTACCCAATATACAAGGTATTCACGCTATTATTAGTCAGAGTATTTCTCGTAACTATTAATTTATAATGAAATATAAATATATCATATAAATGAATAATATATCTTTCTTAATGCGTCATTATAAGTCTGAGAAAAGACATTTGTTCCAGATTAGAACGAACAGCTGGCACCGAGGAATACGCGCGACAAGTGTCAGTTTTATTGGAGGAGACGGTGGAACCACCGCATTTCAAGCTGCACTCGGTACCGGCCGAGAATTCAATTCCCGATGGGAAACAGAATCCCTCGGGGTATCCGCTATGGTACAAGGAGCCTTATAAGATGCCGTTAGTATTCCCTCGTAATTCTATCCATTCCTGTTGCCGATGGAATTGCTCGCGTTACCAGAAAATGGGATAGACCGTCCTGATGTAATGGGTTTTCTTCTTTCCTCGTTAGCGAAGAATAGCGCAGGACACCCCTACGAACAGGGTGATAACGAATAATAGGATTAAAATGATCCGAAGGGATCTCCGCTCGGTATTTTGACGCAAGGACGAACTTTCAGGTTTGCTCCGGACGATATTTACAAACTTCTGGAGTACGATGTCGATAACCCTTCGAGGAGCGGAAAAGACATTTTCGACGAGGAATCTTCAGGGAACGACTCGTGCGAGGAAGCGAGCGACGACGAGCAAATAGTCGAGAACGGAAGTTCGTGGGATTTTAAGAAAGAGGACTCGGTGTTGGCCAGTGGATCGACTACCGTTACGGAGCCAAACGATACAGATTCTAAGGAAAACGACGATACTTCGGACGACAGAAGCGAAAAAACATCGTCTCCTGTATAACAAATAATTTCTATATAACGGTGGCAGAATGGTGCATTACGAAACGTCTTGTTATCGTCCAGATCAACAACGTGATTTTGAATATAAATTGACGTAATATGGATTTCCTGTGTATTAATGAACGTAATTGCGAAACGCGAAAGGAGAATTCCTACTTCGATCCAGAATCGCGAAGTCTCGTAACAATGCGCTCGACCTTGGACGGGAACACAATTAAGTACCACGCCGTTAATGGATCAGTCATTATCAAAAGGTCAGCGCAGTGATGCACAGAACACTTCTTAAAATTCATTTCGAGCGTTAATTAGGAACGTTGATTATTACTTCGTTGCGTACCCTGTAATTACATGTTGCATATGAATTAATTAATTAGTATTAGGGCTTGTGAAAGGACGAGAAAACCAAGGACTGGGTGGCGGATAACCGGAGACTATAATGTGCCGTACTTCCGGCTGTGTTGACCCTTTCGATTCGAACATTTACGTGCTGTGAAACTTTCATCGCGATTACTGTAAATGTGTAACACTCGTTCTAAAACGAAACCATTTCAATGGATTTACCAGTATTCTTATTCATAAAGTGAGTGGTCCAATTATTGGTTGGACTTCTGACATTATTATCTACACATGCTAGAAAAACATTCTGATCGATCTGAAGCTATTTTACATATTAAAGTAGCGAATACGAACGACTAATATATATTTTTAAGTAAAATTATTATATTACTTAAGGATTTATATTACAATAAATGATCACATATGATAGATCGATGAATTTGTTTGATATTCCATTATGGAAAAAAATTGTTTGTTAAATCTCCCTCGTCACTTTACTAACAAAACGATTATTTGCACCGTATAATTTACTTTTTTATTCAAAATAACATTTATAAAATCATTTTGTTGATAGCTTAATCCTCTCGTGAGATATTTGAACATTCCGCTTTAAACGGAACATCCTGTATACGGGAAAGTCCAATATGTACAACACAACGTACCAAAGATTTAATGTGGTTTCCCGTTTACTAAAAGAGGGTGGCATCATCGAAGGTGGAGTTCTCATTGTTTTCGGTTCAGTGGAAATGCAAGAGGGCGCAGGATGGGGTCGGCTCTTATCGATTACTCTGTCTACCACGCCAAAGACGCTTTTCGTATATCTTCGACGTAATCGAAAATTAGATTCTTGTATGAAAGAGCACTTTGAGGAAAATGGAGGTGGTGAAAGAAAGTCAATAAATCACGACGAATAACGTAAATGGAAAAAGTGTTCCTTTTCGAAAAGAAACTATCGATAAGAGGAACTCGTTAATCAATTATTTCAACAGTTTTCGTGGCAAGTCAGTATATACATTGATTTATTTCTGCGTAAAACTATACAGAGTGGTCCACAGGGAATCGGAGCTTATCGAAATAAGTTAGTTCAACCATTGAGGCCATCGGTTTGTGGAAATATATATATGACTGGACACACCGGATTAACTTACACCTGTCGAAAGAGGGCATAGTCTGATAAATACTACACGCGAGTAAGTCACAGTTCGGCGACACGTATTTTCCCGAATGAATTTCATCGATCCATTCTTAATGCAATGTCTGGTGAATGGCAGTTTATCTTGTATCCGAGACTAAACTCTATTCCTTTGGAATCAATTGCCGTGCGCGAAGCTTTAATTAAAAATCTATCCGTTTCAATGGTTTCCCGAGAGAGAAAACCCTAGTAACCAGTACCGAAGAAGATAAAAAATTGCACCACTGTCGATAAATACGAGAAATTCCTTTCCCGCACGTTTCCCCGTCCTTGAAAATAACGTCAAGGCTATTGAAGTACAGTAAAATATATCGGTCGTTTCTGATATAAACAGTGCAATCGTTGCTCTGTACTCCACGTAGTACGAACTCTTTTTAATAGAGGAGCTTAACACGACTAGCTCCCGTCGGATTGATATTTTCGAGGCCTTCCCTAGGTCTTTTTCCATGAGTAATACATTTCCAGAGGTCGATTGACACGCCAGAATTTATCGTTGACTTGCCGCAACGTCTGAGATCCACTGAGCACGACTAGCTGCCCAGGAGAAGGCGCTATATAGATACAGAAATTTAATAACCTATCCGACTCCGATAATTCCGTATCCAGATCCAACGTTAATCTCATAGCCAAGTATTTACTTAGATGATCCACTACAAAAATAAGCACGGATATCGTTATTTCGGGATTTCTATTACCTAGTAATGTGAAATCTGGTCTGATATCTACCTGTCGCGTTTGCTGTGGTCTTAATATATCTAATGCTATTTTCTTTCAATGCCTTGATCAACGAATTGTCATCAGCCATTTCTGTGGGATGTGGTTTAAAAACGAGTTCGATTTCGTTAAGCATCAATGGTTCACTAGGACCTTCGCCTTCTGTATCTACCATGGAATCACCACCACCGGTCTCAGCTTCTGCACTAGACGAGTCATTCTCTGAATTCTGTAAACTTTTCTGCCGTTTAGGCGGTTTAGGAATTTGATTTGCTGGATTTGGCGATGGAGTAGTAGAGTTTCTGGATGTTGTGCCTGAAGCATAGAAACGATCAATTTCATTCGCATCGGATATGGTTGTCGAACTACTCTCTTGCTTAACGATGTTACCAGAAACAGCTGGACTGCTGGCAGGTTGGGATACGCTATTGGAATTTTGAGAATTACCCCCACTACTATTATTCAAAGGTCCTGTTGTGCTCTGAGAAGAATCGCTTTGATTTGCAGAATTTGCTGCATTCGGTGTGGCTGGCGCACTGGCATTCTGAGAATTATTATAAGGAGTCGCATTGCTTGCATTTTCAGACTCGTTTGCATTTTTCCGAGACCGCTGGGGACGATTCTGACTCTGTAACTTAATCCCCTCTGTAATAGAATTTACTAGAGCAGCCTGCGAATGTGATTTGTTCAATTTTGCTAGGACTCTTTCCTGATGCGCCTCGTATTCGTCACGACTTGGATATATCTTAGAAATCAATAAGTCAAAATTGGGATCCGGTCTGAGGGATCTCTTGGACACCAATTTTTTTCTGCATGTCGGGCATTCCTATAAACAATATCAAAATTTATATCCTCGTAGGTTTCTCTGAAACCATTTCAACCTTTGTCAGCACAGAAACTTATTGACCACTATTCCTTAATATTGATAAATGTCACTACGTTACTATAAGAAGTTTAAGTGAAATAACAATTGCACTATCTAAATGATTAAACCGACTAAACATCTCTGTGCATCATTGTTCCAAATATAACAGAAAGAAAAATAGAATTCACTTTGATATCGAATAGAAAGCAATTTTTCATTTACAGAAATCTAAGAAACATTTAATTTTGGCAAACTAAGACAATAGTAAAAAACGATACATCGTTCTTTTTTACGACGCAGTTTAAAAAGCGCGCTAAAATTGCAGTGTCTGACAGAAATGGGTATTCGGGATGTTTTTGTTCTAATGTACTCGTTCATAAAATTTTACAGGTTTCCCATTTTTATGATTATCATTCTAATTTACAAATGTTTATATCTGTATTTTGGCTAAAACGAGATGTACACAACAAACATGCTAGAAAGAAACGGAGCGTCAAAATACACAACACGGACTGTTTACTTCTAACGAAATAAGATTTCGAGACAGCCATAGAACAAACACTGTGTGCGGAATTGAAAATTACTATGTTACGTGACGATCTCGTTACAGTTACGTACCTTATTACCGCTTCGAAGTGCCGTAATGATACAATCGGAACAGAAACGATGCAGACACTCCTTCGTGGTCATAGTCTTTTTAAGCATGTCCAAGCAAATTGGACACATGAGTTCACTATGTAAACTCCGTGGGCTAACCGCGATCTCGGTATTATCGGTGATTGCATCCTGAGGAGTACGATGAAGCTCATATAGCGATAATTCCCAAGTTTTGTTCAGCCCGACCTGTTCCGCGGAAGCCATCTTGACTACATAGAAGCCGTCAGCTGAAGTACTGTACTCAACACAACCTATGACCGCGGACATGATCACCTAGCGGCAGAAATGAGAATTCTAAAAAATGCCGCAGTCGGTAACATGATCAACGAGGTAAAGAATCGATAAAACGTAAGTACTTTAATTTCGGTAATATATGAAAACATATTTTAACAACATACAGTGGGTGTAGAAAGTATTCGTACACCGATCAATTTCCAAAAAAACTGTGTAAAATTGTAATTCATTAACTTATTAATGAGAACATTAATCGAAAATGTTTAGAATTTCATATTTAATGGTTAGCGAGAAACAATTGTAAATTTGTAACATTCTTATTATTCGTTTGAAAAAGAAATTTTACTGTGTTGGAACAAAATTTAGAAAGTCAAATGAAAGAAGTCATTTGTTTAGAAACCAAAATTAAAATTATGAAGTATAGTTGTACATATTTAATATTTCGTAAACGGTTTCTAATATTCTTTTGTTTTTCATTTGTATTTCACTTTATTCTACGTTGAAATAAATGAATTTATTTAAATAACCTGCTTAAATTAATCGCCTAAATTAATCGCGTGCATATTTCCATGTAGTTTAAGCGCAAAAGTTTACACTTCCATATGAAATGTCCATTCGTATACAAAACACGCGCGTATAAAAGTATTCCTAGTCTAGATACATATTAAGAATAAATAGAGTCTAATAGGTATAAAATAAGCAGTGCACGAAAACAGATACAATTTCATGTAATTACAGAATCAAATCATTAAAGGCAATTACTTGGAGTTCCCGACTACTTACTTCATACAGATTAGATTTCGCTTCTCACTTTTGATACCTTCGACACGTTCCCGTAAGAAGCAAAACGTTTCGATGGAAAAAGATACTTTAGCATTCGATATGATTAGTACGATACGGTAATAGTTCCACTATTTCTGGCACGCGTTAAATGTGCAAGTTGTGAGCCGTTAAATAACAAACTATTCGACACAACACGGTACGATACAATTAAGTGCTCGTTACGCCGATGAAGTAGGTCGCCGTAATTAAACTGACGGGGTTCTTCAAAGACTCTTAATGAGCCGTGATAAGTTCATAGATCGTCCAATCTAGACACCTCGGTTCTCAGGCATTTTACAAATAGCGTTAAGAGTGGTAGTTCTAAATGACTTGAAAAGTTCGAGCGTGCGTCGTACGTGCTCCACGTAGCACGGAACGCGATAGTACGCGCGAATAAATATCGCATAAGTCGACAATAATCATCAAAAGGAAACGAACGCTCCGTAGGGCGGGAATAAGCATAAGCGTAGGCAAGATGTGTTTCCTCGATAATATATAATATAACGGTATATAATAGAATCTAAGATGGGCGTAGGCTCTCGGCCATTGCTGCGTACTGGAGATAAGCCAGATACGTATTTCCAGCGAGCGAGAGTTGAGATGCGTTCGTGCACCTATCTAACACGGTAAACTAGACCGACGGGACCTGGACCTTTTTTAGTGACCCTAACTGTAGCTAACCGTAATCGCGTCTGTCGGTACTTATCGGGAAAACATGTTTTATCACCTCTCTCCGATTCCTCTTCGGTGTTTTCAATCATGTCGCGAAACGTTCAATGGCCCCTTTAGACGCTTCTTCGTCAATTTGCAACAATCCACGCGGACCGGCAACATTTATTTTCTTCGCTGTATGCACCTACCTTTCTACGCTTCGATGGGAATTAATGGTTCGCGCGTCTCTGCGTTCTCCTAGGCAAATCCGTAAATCTGCCGCGAGCAAAATTCACTCCCAATCGAGCGTACGGTAAGGAGCATATCCGAACCGATTATAAAAATTGTCTGAAAAGTGCTTTTTAGGCCGATCGCACACGGCGCAACCAATCAGTTTCTAACCACTCTGAAACTATAATAGTTACATGCGACCGTGGATCTAGGTAAAACAAAGATAGTGGAGTAGGTAAAACAAAGAGCGCAAACGGTTTGCAACACTAATTTCAAATCGGTTGCGCCACATAGTGCGGAATAAGTGGACAAAATTCGATATTAGTATACAGGGTGTCCCAAAAGTCGGGGAGGAGCTGGAAATGGGGGGTAGCTGAGACGATTCTGAACAACAATTTCCTTTGCAAAAATGTCGGATGAGGCTTCGTTAAGGAGATATTAAGCGAAAACCCCGACCAATCAGAGCGCGCGTAGACCGTTGGAGCGGCCGCGGTAGCGAAGGCTACGCGCTAGACGGCAGCGTCAATGTCCTTCGATGCACGTCGAGTCACTTGTTCGCGTACAAGCGCGGCCGCCAGCGCGTAGCCTTCGCTACCGCGGCCGCTCCAACGGTCTACGCGCGCTCTGATTGGTCGGGGTTTTCGCTTAATATCTCCTTAACGAAGCCCCATCCGACATTTTTGCAAAGGAAATTGTTGTTCAGAATCGTCTCAGCTACCCCCCATTTCCGGCTCCTCCCCGAGTTTTGGGACACCCTGTATATCACAATGTGAGACAGATTTCTATCGTAGAAAATGTGTGTCAACGTGGAAATCGTTATAAATAATCATGTATCAATTATTTGTATCCGTAATACAATCTTTATCTTTGAACGAACATACAGACAAAACGACAAAAAATATCCTGAGTTCTCAACATATTTGGATACATTATTTGTTATATTTTAAGAAACTTACAAGTTTTCTTGCAAATACTTGCAACGTTCGGTTTTACATCATTTTTAATAAGGGACCGTACTGTTGGTGTAGGGTCGCAATTGGAAGTTCAAAATTCTGATTTAATTGATTTATGGATTTCTGTAAAAATTATTTTTCACATCGTCAGCCAAAATGAAGCATATCGTGTTAAACAATATACGGGTGCAACTTCTATTATTTATGAGAAAAAAATTCCTAAAGAATTCGAAATATGGTTTACGTTAAGAAACACTACTTATTTAATTACTTAGACTGAGTCGTTTACTCCTGGACTATATAATAGTTCTTCTGCCGATGTGGAAGCTTCTAAAATATCGATTTGATGCTGCCTACGAAGCATTCAGCTTATATCCATAATTGTGTTAATAATAATTGTTACGAATAAAATAGATCACATTCCGTAACTTATTCTTCTGTATCGTAAAAGTAAAGCGAATGCAAATTTAATGGAAATTACCAAATGCAAAGTGATGATGGAAACGGTACTCTTACGAAGGAACATCAACGAAATGATTCGATATCAAGTCGAAGACGGCTCACGCAACGGCTTAGGCGTGATCCACTTTCATCAGAGCAACGTTTCAACGGACGATTGGGCGGTAAACATAAAGAAATTCAAGGGGTATTAACATTTAGAGTGTTTCGCATATCAACGTTAAAGTACGTATCACCTTGGTTCGATGAACCGAGTGTAGAAATTTGGACAGACATACGCGAAACTTATAGGTCAGTCGGTGAGCGATACGGGGCGACATCTTGTTCCACTTAAAGGCAACCTTGCTCCGTCAACTTTTTAACTCTGTTTAATTAATCGCCTTCGGCGAACGACGCCGTTTTCGCCGTTTACTTTAACTGGTTATTATACCGTTTCGTTAACAAAAATATAGGTTCAGCTAATGACGCCTTACACTGGAAACGAAAAACTTATTTGCTAGGTAAAGATCGTGCACTGTTGGCGACGCCGTAAAACATTGGTACGAGGATAAAATAGAAATTGTTTGGTACCCAGTAATTTTCGGCGTTGCAACGTCTCCATGAAATAAACATTGAACTGTAATTTATTCCACCGCAAGTCGAGCGTGATAGAAAAGAATTACAGGCTGTAAAGAATTACCGACTAATATTAGAAAACTACGTAAAAACAGTCGGATTGCCACATTGACATGCTTTCTAGTAGACAATCTTTCTCTCGAGGAACTTACATAACTCAACCGCGATCTCTTGTGCTGCCCACATAGCCATCGCGATACGAGACCACGGTCACACGAGTATTATCTGTATTATAGATATTATGCTTGCTTTACGCGCCATTTTCGATCGTCTGCTTTTCTCATGGAATTGTATTTTCATTCTATTCGCGATCGCACGAACGCGATACCATCGAGCACCGTTTATCAAACATAGTCTTCACCTCTTCGTTGCAATCTTAAAACTTCCTGTACAGAAGACCCCTTTTATATTCGAATTCTCGCGCATCGCGTAACGATTAACAACGGGACAAAGTTCGACATGGACACGCGAATTCAAGTCAAGTCTAACACCTGCATACGTTTCACTTAAGAGAGTATTCTAGTCTGGAACTTTAAAAATACCGATTCTTTTTTTATGGTATTTTCTCGAAGTGTAGATCTTTGAAAAATATATCTGGCAAAAGATTCTGTTGAATTCGGAAAATTAACGAAGTTATTTATTTCTCGAGTAGAAGACACTTATTTTTTGAACGGAATAAGAATTGTGTGATAATATGTTTTACTAAGAATTAAGATGACTAGGACTAGGAGGGTTCCTTTGTAAGATTTCTATTTTTTAGGCTAAATAGAAATTTTATAACAATGTGAGGAAATTAAGGTTAAAAAATTAATCGCCTTTACTTATTTAGAATTGCATAACAATTACTAATAAAAGTTAATAACTTTACAGAAATTTGTATCGGTTATTAATGTACTCATGTACCCCAGATATTGAATTTATTAATTATTGGTTTAGTGGTGTCGTGAATGAGGGTGGTGTCTATTCGAAAAGATCGAGTTGACCTTGAAATTACCCTTAAAATAGACCCCGAGGTAAAGCTGAAATCATCTCGTGGCTCCTATTGATCTACCAATAACCGTAAGTATTATCGCCTTTCTCTACTTTCTATGACCTTCAATGACCTTATATAATAGGTCCTTGAACTCGTTTTAAGATCCTCTATCATGATACGGAAGCAAAAACGTACCGATCCATTTAAAAAAATGGAGGTGACCTTTAAATGTCCGAAGTTCCTCCATCTGCAAAAAAAACAAACTATCGCCACCGAATAGGCCCCCGTCGTACTGTGCAATTTTTATTTCATCAAATATTTCTATGAAATTTGTAGCTTTAAAAATATCTGAGGTACTAGTAGTTATTGTCCCACCCTGTATATTTTTTATTCGGAATAAAATTTGCCCGTCTCTGATACGAACTCATCGTCAGTTTCATCCCATCGCTAAATAATGATCCAGAAAAGCTACGATAGATCCGAACGGCTCGATCCGTTCGTTCGAGACAGATCCACGTGAAAGGCGATCGATTCTACGCCGTCATAAAAGGGAGTCGGTAATAATTTAGCAGAATCAACAACAGAAGCGATCGCTTTAACGATTCGACAACAAAATCTCCGACTTGAATCACGGCACGGTCTACCGCTTTCCTCGCTCGACGCGATTTGTTCCTGTACACTCTAATAATTATCATTTCTTTCGCTGCTTCCTTGTTCCCGACATTGCGCAAGCATCCGGAAGGAGCGGTATATTCTTGCCTGATACATGGTTACATGTATCCGTTCAGTCCAGGTCAAGCGTGAATCTGACCCACTGGAATTGCCGCCGGGCAAATCCATCCTAACCTACGGATTAACCAGCAGCCACGTTTCTGCACTTACCGCCACGAAACGATGCGAGATGCTCCATCTCCGAAAGGTCAGTGCCTCGCGTGAAAGGATTGCACTTTCATTCATGACACTATTACGCAAAGGTTGCTATAATGCAAAGTGGAATCAGGAGTTCCTCGCCGCTCGTAATTTCACGCATCGCGTTTAGTCGAGCGGCGTGTTTTATACTATAAGAACCCATTGTGCCATGTTCTGACAATAAT